CACAAGGCCAAGGGCGGGCCCTCTGGGGGCCACGGGTAGGGTGGAGGGGTCTTAAGAAGCCACAAGGGAGGGTGCAGGGGGGCTCTCCAGGCAGGAGGCAGGAGGAAGAGCAGGTGGCCGGAAGAGTGCACACGACGGACAGACAGACAGTGCAGTCACCCATAAAGTAGAAAGCACTACTAACAGCACTGGAGGGTGTAGTGTTTCCTACTTTATGGATGAGTGTACTGTGGGCTTCGGAGACCACGCCACGCTGCTGCCACCCGCCACCGTCTTCCTGCGCCTCGGGACCACGTGACACAGGTGAGCGCCTCTTGCACCTCCCACCCTGCGAGGACCCCTAAAAGGAGGCCTTCCTTGCCCGCTGCAGGGCTGTCCTTCTTGGTCGCTCACAACTGCAGCTCTGCCGAAGTCCTGAGTGGGTGGAAGAGGGCTGGACATGTGGCCCCGGCGCAGGAGCAAACAGGCGGCCGTGGGACGGGTTGGGGGGGAGGGCTGGGGCACGGGGGGCCCCGGCACTAATAAAGAATGAAATCTGCTTTCCTTTTGTCTGAGACTCTGTTGCTGGGTTGGGGGTACTGAGTGGGAGTGTGTGGTGTGGACCCCCGATGCTGGGAGGGGGACGCTCTCACTTGCCCAAGAAAGAAAAAGGTTTGCTTCTGTCCACAAGAGCTGAAGAGGCTCCAGGCCTGGTCAGGCTGCAGCCAGGGGAAAGAAGCTCCTGCACTCTGAAGATAGCGGCAGAAATATGAGGGGCCCCCACCTTTGAGCCCAGCTCCAGTCCTCTTCTGCTTTCCACTCATTCTCTACTCCCCTAACTGAAGGCTGCTTACTTTTTGTTGTGGTGGTTTTTTTTTTGGTGGTGCTAGGGATTGAACCAGGGCCTTTGCACTGGGCTACTTTATTTATTTATTTATTTATTTATGAGACAGGGTCTCGTCGTGTGGTTCAGGGTGGCCTTGAACTCACTATGTAGCCCAGGCTGGCCTCAAACTCAGTGATCCTCCTTCTGCCTCAGCCTCCCGAGTGCTGGGATTACAGGTGTGCACCACCACACCCATCATTTATTTATTTATTAAAACAGGGTCTCACTAAATTGTTTAATCTGTGTTCAGACTTGTGATCCTCTTGCCTTAGCCTCCCAGAGTGCTGGGATTATAAGCATGTACCATAATGCTTGACTACCTCTGATTTTAATCTCTGTCTGGGGGAGTGGGTCTGTTTTTCCCCCATTTTTTGAGTCAGGGTCTCATGTTATAGCCCAAGGTAGCCTCAGAAATCACAATCCTCCTGCTTTAGCCTCTGGAGTGCTAGGATTTTAGGCCTGTACCACCATGCCTGGCTAGAGGGTCTTTGATAGGATAAGAACTGGGCAAAAACATTATGGTATACTGTGTGCACAGCACCTTATACATAAATAAGGGCACAGACACTAATATACAAAGGACACATGCACCAGCATGCACGTGCATTTACATATAGGCTCTAGACTTGTATGCTAGCACCATACACATGCAATGACATAGACACATGGGACATGGCTGGCATGTCATACAATGGCACATGGTTATATACTCACCGAGGGCACACACATTCAACAATATCCACATGTACAATAATATAAACATGATATGTCACTAACTCTCCAAAGGCATAGTGACATTCACAATAAATACAGTGACTCTGAACACATAAACATATAGTGACATTTTCATACATGATGATAAATATAAGATAGATATATGGAGACAAGTGTGGTGGTGTATTCCTTTAAGCCCAGCCTGAAGGAGGCTAGGTGGAAGGATCATCCAGAGTTGAATGCCAGCCTGGACTATATAATGAATTCAAAGCCAGGCTAAGCTACATAGTGAAACTTTGTCTCATGAAACCAAATTAATAAAACAAAATAGATACTTGATGTTTATATACATACTTTATTCATTGACTCCCTCATATCTGTAGGTTCTGCATTCATAGATTCAACCTTAGATTAAAAATATTTGAAAAAATTGTGCTTGTACTTATAATCTACAAGCTTGTCATTATTCTCTAAATGCAGTATAACTATCTACTTTGCATTTAAAGTATATTAAATTTGGTTTTGTTTTGTTTTTTGAGACAGTGTCTCACTATGTAGTTCAGGCTGCCCTTAAACTCACTAGGTAGCTTAGGCTGGCCTTGAACTCACAGCGATCCTCCTGCTTCAGCCTCCCAAGTGCTGGGGTCACCATGCCTGGCTACATTATATTAAATATAACTGATCTACAGATGATTTAAAAAGTGTACATGAGCACCTGGGGATGTAGTGCAGTGGTAGAACACTTGCCTAGTAGGCACAAGGTCTTGGGTTAGGCCCCAGCACCACATATACAAAAATAATACATGGTCGTATCTCTGTAGATTGTGTGCACATAGTATACCTCTTTTTTGTTGTTGTTTTTGAGACAGGTTCTTTATATGTAGGAAGAAAGGCTGGCCTGGAAGGTCCTGCAAGTACTGAGACGATAGGTGTGGGCAACCACAGCAAGCTATACTCCATTTTATATAATGAAATTGAATGTCGGTGAATTTGGGCTTCCTAGTGGGGAGAGGTCCTGGAACCAATCCCCCTGTAGGCACTGAAGGGTGAATATATATATATATATATATATATATATATATATATATATATATATATATATATATACACACACACACACACACATATTCCATATATATATATCCACATCATAATATATACACGTCATTGTATGTCATTACACATATTTATGGGACCATAAGTACTTATTGTTAGGGGCTAGGGATTTAGCTCAGCGGCACAGTGCCTGCCTGGCAAGCACAAGGTCGTGAGTTTGATTCCCGGTGCCAGAAAAAAAACAAAAAAAAAAAAAAAATAGAATATCAATATGTATTGTTAATGCCATACAATGGTATTGATATCCCTATATCATGAGAGGTGTCATTTAGAAACTCAGCACTAGAATCATCCACATAAAAACATATATATTATATAGAGACACTGGTAAACAGACATGCAATGACACGCAGAAATGTGTAGCCATGTGCATCCAATGATGTTCATAGACACAACAGCACATGTATATAATGTCCCCCCATACACAGAAAGAAATGCATATCAGTTCTATTTGTGCATAGGGTACATATGTATTTGCATAATGGTGTGCATGTATACCTTGCTATAAACACACATCGTGCTGTGGCATGCACGCGGATCTATACACTGTGTAAAGGAAGTGAATGTGGTTCCCCTCCCTGCGCACCCCCTCCCCTCCCTCCTTTCCTCGGCTCTGGCCTGGGTGGAGCCTACTGTCAGTGGCTCTGTGGTTTAGTGTTGCTGCTGCTATTCCAAAGGGGTGCCACATGAGGGCCCCTGACCTCACCGAGACTGGCTGGTCCCGTGCCCTGGGTTCACAAGGGAGAGGGGCTGCCGCTCTGGCGCCTCTGGCAAGGATACCCTTCTCTCTGGGACTCCGCCTAGGCCTCTGCTGCCACACATACAAGTGGGTATGATCCCTGGGTATGGGGGTGCCTACAGTTTTGTTCCAAAAAGCCATTTTCTCATAGCAAAAGAGCTTAAGGCTAGACAGAAGATGAACTTCCTGACAATTCAGGACAAAGCCAGCCCACCGGGTCATGTAGTCTCCCCTGGTGGCTTGGGACACCCAGCTTGCTCCCCAAGTGTGGTCTGCCAGGAGGCAACCGAGCAATTTTCTCAGCTAATTTCTACCTCTGTCTCTTTGCTTCTGTCTTCCTGTTTTCATCCTCTTACTTCTCTCTGTTTAATCTTAAATCTCATCTTTTCTAGTCCTGCCGTTCTCTGTGGCTGGTTCTCTGTCATTCTTCCCTTGTCTATATCTTGCCCCATGCGGGGAGGACAGTCTCCAGCCCCCTGGCCTCTGTACCTTGAAGGGTGTGAAGGCTGTTGGGACAAGGGGCGGGGAAGCCACATGTATGGGAGGGGCAGTGCTGAGCTGCCATCCCGTGAGGAACCTGCTCTTCCCTCTGTCCCGACCCTGCCAGCCGGTCCAGCCCACCAGTCCAGCACCATCACCATGGAAACCAGCAGCCGACTTCCTATTGGTAGGCGGGAGGGAAGGAGGAGGGGGAAAGGGAGGGCTGGCTCTCCCCGGCTCCCCCCACCCCATTCTGAGGCTCAGCCCTCCTCCGCACCCACCATCTCAGGGCTCCGGGGCTGTAAGGGACCCCTGCAGTCCCCTGAGCTGAGGCTAGCAGGGGGAGAGACTATGAGGCAAGCAACCCATCGACCCAGGCCTCCTTAAGACCAGCCCGGCCACCCAGCAAGCGAGTGAGCAGCAACGGAGAGAGGAGCGGGAGGTAAAGGACCAGCAGACCACTGGGGCTTACCCCCAGCAGCTCCTGAGGATCCTAGCCCAGCTGCGGGGTCACGATGGATGGCCAGACCTACAGACGCTGACAGACACATTGACACCGATGCATGCAGCTGCACAACGCCAACACTCGGCTACAACCAGTGACAGCATCACACACTGCCACAGCCCTGCAATACAGACACCCACACGCAGAAACAACTGGTAACTCTGAAACAGGCACAGACAGTGACACACAGCACCACCCTCCTCAACACACACAAGGGCAGCAACACCCTCTAAACACACAAGGCAGCGTTCGCCTGAGGGAGCAGAGACTCACGCACATCCTCACCCCAGAACTGCTGTCCGTGGCCTCGGCACATCCTCCCCGCCCCCACGGGGACACCCTCGCCTCTCCACATACTCAGACACGCACACAACCACGAACAAACATAGCTCACATACCCTCGGCTCCAGCTCTGGCAGTCCCCACGTCGTCCACAGCCTCCTTTGTGGATCGGGAAGAGCTCAGCCAACCTGGATGGAAACACGGTGAAGCCAAGGGCTCAGAGCAGAAAGGGTCTGGCCCGGAATGACCCTCTCCAGTGCCCCCACTTGGCTGGGTGATGTTCCCTGGCCTGAGTTCTGGGGCCTCTTGGCGCTGCCATGGAGCAACTGACAACCTACCCACGGCTTGGGGACCCTGGAGCCATGGAACCCTGGGCACTGCCTGCCTGGCAGAGCTGGACTCGGGGCCAGGGGGGCGAACCTGGAGACACAGCCCCGAACATTGCTGATACTCCAGAAGCTTTGCAGGTTAGAGAAGTGAGCTCCCAGCCCCAGGGAGCCCAGAGTCTGGTGCCAGTGGTAGGCGCTGACCCTGGAGGAGCAGAGGCTGGGCTGCCCAGCTTGAAGCAGCAAGCAGGGAGCGCTGGATGTGGCTGCCCAAGGCTGGAGGCTGAGGAGGTGCAGGCTGTGTCTAAGGTAAGGGGACTGGGGGAACTCTGAGGTCTGCAGGCTGGGCTTCTGACTATGTCTCCCCACCGGCTAGGAGGCAGGATAAGAGGTGGCCCCCCTCGTCTCCTGGCCTGTCTGTGTGACTACCTGCCCTCCCTTCACTGGACAGAAATCTCAGTGACTCCATTTTTTGGCCATTTGTCTGTCCTCTCCACCTGTCCATCTCTACATCTGGCCCTGCCCCTCTGTATATCTGTGTCTGACAACCTGTCAGTGTGTAACTCCTCCCCCACGAGGCTCTCTGTCCTTGGGGGCTGGGGATGGTGGGGGTGTGGAGGTGTAAAGTGGAACCAGAGGAGGCAGATTAAGGAGAGAGCTTGGTGCTGGGCTGAGCCAGGGAGGACAGGTCTGGGTGGGTGTGAGCAGTCTCCTGTAGAAGAGGGGGCACCAGGACGTTGGGGAGGGCAGGGGGCTTCGGGCTATGAGGAGCTACAGGGATCAGGATGGGAGTCTGAGCTGGCATTTCCCGGGAAGAGGAGATGGGCAGGGTAGGGAAGGATCAGGGAATAGGATGGAAGGCACCAGCAGGGAGGTGGGGAGCAGTTGCCATGGGAGGACCAGAGAGCGCCTTCTTCTGGGTCCCTGAGCCCCCCTCTGAAGGCTTGGGATGTAGGAGAGAAACTTGTCCATGTCTCCTTGGACTGTGGCAGGGAGATGCTTCCCCATGAGACTCAGCTTGGTCCCTGAGGCCCTGTACCTGGTTTTCTCTCATGCCAGACCATGCTGGACACCGGCTTTGGGGACCAGCCCAATCTGGAGCTGTTGAGGGCCCTGGGGGAGCTGCAGCAGCGCTGTGCCATCCTCAAGGAGGAAAACCAGATGCTGGTGAGGCTCGCAGAGTTGGGGTGCTGTCAGGTCCAGCCAGGACCCTCTGCCTCAGTGACCTCCCTCTTTACCCCGTGGGTATCTCTCAAGAGGGAGTCATGTGGATGTGACATAATCCCATGACCCAGAGAGGGTGAAACCTTGCCTAGCGTTGCCAAGAACCCCACTATGAGCCTGGGCTCTGGCCCAAATTCTGCACGGTAGCATGGGCATGTGGGTGCTCCCTACATGCTCTAATTCCGGCTGACCCCTTGTCAGAGAAACACCAGCTTCCCCGAGACAGAGGAGAAGGTACGGAGACTAAAGCGGAAGAATGCGGAGCTAGCGGTCATTGCCAAGCGCCTGGAGGAGCGGGCCCGGAAACTGCAGGAAACCAACTTGAGGGTGGTGAGGAGAGAATCTGGGTGACCAGGGAAGAGGGGAGCCAAGGGCTGAGTCTCAGGGACTGAGGCTTGGGAGTCATGGACTCCTAGTCAGGAGAGCAGGAATCCAGGAGCTGAGAGTAGCAAGGGCAAACACTTGCCCGGGGAGGAGGCAGAAGGTTGTTGGGGCCCCAAGAGGGAGTGAAAGGCTAGGCGGGAGGTTCCTAGGGAGGCAGGGAGCGGAATTCTGGATCACCACATGCTGGTACTGGCTGCAGCCTCCTGCTGAGCTCATCTCAGGGTGTAGAGCTGGAATGGGGGCAGGGACAAGACCTGTCACACTGGCAGCCTAGAATGAGCAGCATCTTTTGGGTCCAAAGTGAGATGTGGAGTTAAACCTTTTAGTCTGACTTGGGGAAAGCCAAGAGAAGGCCCAGTGAGGCTGCCTGTTCTCTAGAACCCCAGATTGGGTGGTGGAAGTGAGCTTCATCCTAACTCCTCCTCCGGGAAAGGATGAGGAGCGGAAGTGCCCCAGGCCCTCAGGTGACCTTTGGTCTCACCCTTCCTCTGGCTAGGTGAGTGCTCCCATGCCCCGGCCTGGGGCCAGCCTGGAGCTGTGCCGGAAAGCCCTAGCCCGCCAGCGAGCCCGGGACCTCAGTGAGACAGCCAGTGCTCTGCTGGCCAAGGACAAGCAGATCGCCGCCTTGCAGCAGGAGTGCAGGGAGCTGCAGGCCAGGCTCACCCTGGTGGGCAAGGTGCGAGGAGTGCCTGGTCTCTCCTTCCAGCTCAACCGGGTGCAGGGCCAGGGCTGTCAGCCTGGCTTGTGGGATGTGGTGATGTTAATGAGATGCAAATGAAGGGGGAAGGTAGAGGCTGCTGGGGAGTAGGTTCCCCTGGCAACGGCCCAGGTGGGAGAGGGGAGAAAGAGGCTGAACCGAGGGAGGTGGAGCCACGAGTCCCGGACCTGAGCATTTCTGTTCTGGCTTGGGCTACGTGCCAGTGGGTCTGGAGGTACGAAGCCACACAGATCTCACACTTATGTGAAGGAATGTTCACAAGGCTTTTAGCACAGTGCCAGGCAGGCTGCGAGCGCCCAGTAAATGAGTTGCGGGGAACGTCTCCACACGGGCTCTGGAAGCATGTGGCTGTGTGAGCACGCACATATGACCAGGCATGTAGGCATGGGAGGATGGATTTGCGCCTTTCCCCGCATCCGAGCCCCTCCATCAGGTGGAGGGCTGGCCCTGGCGGGGATGGCTGGAGGGTGCGCAGGGGTTAGGTCTGATTCTCCTCCTGGTCGCCCTACTCCAGGAGGGTCGCCAGTGGCTCCATGTGCGGGACTTCGACCGGTTGCTGCGCGAGTCCCAGCGGGAAGTGCTGCGGCTGCAGAGGCAGATCGCCCTGCGCAACCAGCAGGAGCCGCCCTCGCCGCCCCCACCGCCCCGGCTGCCGGGCCCCGCTGTCCCCTCCAGAGCAGGGGCGCCGAAGCCGGTGGCCCTGGGAGAGGTGAGCCCGGTGCAAAGACAGGTTTGCGTGTGTGTGCGCGCGCCGACGAGAGGGGAGGGGCGAGCCCGGGATCCCCCAGCGCGGCAGTCAGAAGGAACTCGGCGGTGGGGTGTGTACTCCCACGGGCTTGGGAGCCTTCCCCACCAGGGGCAGCCGACCTCTCCGTGCCTCGCATGTTTGCACCTGCACCAAGCCCCACTGAGGTCCCCGGGTTCCACCTCCGCGGCCTGCGCCTCGTGGGGGCAGCCTGGCGCCCCCGCCGCGCCGCCAGTGGTATGGCCCGGCCGCAAATCCCTGGTTGCCCTGGCAGCCGCCCGGGGCCCAGCCCGTGCCCGCCTAGTCAGCCGCCGCTGTAGAGCGGGGACGCCCCTTCCTGCGCCCGCCAGCCAACCAGGCCTGGCCCGGGACCCCCGGGGATGCGGTGAGTCCTACCCGGCTCCAGGTACTGGCGACCTTCCTGAGCGCGGGGCTTAGGCAGCTCAGCCCTCTTGGTCTAGAGGACTAGGGACCCACTCTGGACCCCAAGGACCTAAAGAGGGTCTGACTCTTAGGTGAGGAGCATCTAGGTCCTCCGCTTCCTTCTGGAAAGAGGAGTGGGAGGAGAGTCCCGATAGTGACGAAAGCCTCGGGGTAAGGGACGCTGCTTACTCGGGTTTGCCCCTCTGGCCTGCCGATGGAGGGAGATGTTCTTCCCATCAAGAGCCATCCTCCCCAAAACTTTGCGCAGATACATAATGCAATAGGGGGGCTTGAGGGCAACCAGGAAGTGAGCCAGGCCAGACTGGCCCTGCTGTAGGCCATGTGCGGATTTGGATGATCTAGAACCCCTAGCTCTTTTTTTTGTGTGTGTGTGTTGGGAATCAAACTTAGAGCCTTGTGCTTGCCAGGTAAGTGCTGTGCCACTGAGCTATATCCCCGGCCCTGAACCCCTAGCTCAGAACGCCACATCCTTGGGGGCCCAAGTGGCCTCCTACTTTCTGCCAGTCGCTGAAGGACACCCAGGACAGTTATTGAGTGCAGAGCAGGGCAGCTGCCGAATGCTAAAAAGGGAAAGCTTTGGCCTGGATACAGGACCCATCTCCCAGGCTACACGTGGGTCCCAGGATCTCAAAGCACTTATGTCTGGGGGACATAGGGTGCAGCCCCTATACCTCCCACGTGTTGGGAGGGGGTGGACAGACAGCATCCCTGCCCCCTTCCAAGCCAGCGAGCTCACTGCTGATTATGCCCTGAGCTGGGAACCTCCTGAGCGCAGACTGGGCTGGGATAGGCTGCCCCTGGACCCTGTTCTCAGGTGCCAGCTTCCTGCCCCTGGGCATTTCCAGGCCACGCCCCAAGAGGATGTGGACAGCCCACCCGTGGTGGTAGAGGACCCTGAGAAGCAGCGGAGGGTGCAGCAGCTGGTAAGTCCCAGGTCAAGGGCTGGAGGTGACCTGCTGTGGGCAGATCTGCCTTCCCCCATGAGAAGCCTTGGGTCTGACCCTGTAGGAGTCAGAGCTCAGCAAGAAGCGGAAGAAATGTGAGAGCCTGGAGCAGGAAGCCCGGAAGAAGCAGAGGCGATGTGAGGAGCTGGTGAGCCCTTAGGCTGCCCAGGGGTCCATTCCTACCGTCTTTTGCTCAGTCCCATCCCTCTTGCTTTCAGGAACACACCTGTTCCACCCTGCTGTCCTTTCCTGGTAGATGCAGGGGAGGAAAGCCTTGCCTGGGAGGACAGGGTGCTCCGTGTGTGGAGAGGAGGAAGGTGGGTGCTGCGCCCTACCCCAGAGCTCTGCTGCCCCCTTAGGAACTGCAGCTGAAAGAAGCCCAAAATGAGAATGCCCGCCTGCTGGAAGAGAACTCTCGGCTCAGTGGCAGAGCCACCAAGAAGGAGCAGGTATCCCTGTTGCCCTGTGGCTTTGAGGCTCTGGTCCTGAGCAGAGGCGGAGCGGTGGGGTGGAGCATGAAGGGTACCATCCCCCCAGTGAGGGACAGGTCGAATGCCCAGCTCCCGACCGATGCCCCCTCACTAGGTGGAGTGGGAGAATGTGGAGCTGAGGGGCCAGCTCCTGGGGGTCACGCAGGAGAGGGACTCAGCCCTTCGCAAGAGCCAGGGCCTGCAGAGCAAGCTGGAGAGCCTGGAGGAGGTGCTGAAGGTGAGGGGCCTGGGCAGGCGGGGAGGGCACTGGGACGTGGCACAGGGAGAAAGGGGGGCGGTAGAATAGGCCCTCTGTCCGCAGCCCAGTCCTTTCCTGACTCAGTTTCCTTCTTAGTAGAAGACACCTGGAGCAGATCCACTTAGATGTACTATGGGGATGACGGAGTGGCCGCTCTGGCCTTGATCCCAAGTCTTGTGTTTCAGCACATGCGGGAGGTGGCCCAGCGGCGACAGCAGCTGGAGGTGGAACATGAACAGGCTCGGCTCAGCCTTCGGGAGAAGCAGGAGGAGGTCCGGAGGCTGCAGCAGGTGGGGCAGGAGTGAGGGGAGCTGGTCGCTTTGGGACCTCAGCTTCGCCATCCTCTCAGCCAGCCGGCACTGACTATCTACTGTGTACCAGACACAGTGCTAGGCACAGGGGAGACAGTGAACAAAGGCCAGGTCCCTGACCCATCAGCAAATAAGCACACCCATGAATGAGATGAGCAGAGCCACGAATGTGATAATAAACACAATGGGGAGATGAACAGGGTGAGTGATGAGAAGTGTCGGGCATAGGGATGGGGCAAGAACGGCTTTAGAGACGTCATCAGGGAAGACCTTCCCGAGGAGGAGACAATTGAATAATACCTCGGGAGTGAGCAGAAGTCAGGGTAGCCAGAGCAGAGCAGACCAGACAGGCAGAATAGTTGTGCCAGTGCCGGTGGCAGGGAGGAGCTAGTGGAAGGAACCAAGGCCAGTTGTGGCAAGAATACAGCAAGGGACAGAGCAGCAGGAGCTGGGCCTTAAAAGTATGAGAAGAGTTCAGATGTTTTGCTCCATGAGTGGTTAGAAGTTGCTGAAAGCTTAAGCAGGGAATGACGCGATCTGATTCATCACTTTGAGATCACATTGGCCGGAGGGACAGGCATGAGGGGCCTGGAGCAGGTGATCAGCAGATCAGCAGCTGTGGCAGTGGTCCAGGAGGGAAATAATGATCTGGATGAGGTTGCAGGTGATGATGGAGGTGGAAACAAGTAGACAGATTGGAAATGTAATTTGCAGATAGACCTGATAAGACTCACTTAGAACTGGGCACAGTGACACAGAACTGTAATCCCAGCACTCAGGAGGCCAAAGCAGGAGGATGTCTAGTTCAAGGCCAGCCTGAGCTAAATGTTGAGTCCCTGTCTCAAACAAACAACCCCCGAACCGAACCGAACCAAACCAAACCAAATCAAAGCCTTACTTGGAGTTCCGGTTGAATCCCTACTTGGTCACCTTCTTTGCTGTGATCCCTATGGGAGGATGGGGTCTTTCACTCACCCCAGGAGGTGGAGGATGAGGGCCAGCAGCTTTGAGAGAAAGGGGCCACCTGAGTTCCAGGGAGTTCTGTTTTGGCAAACTTGGGTTGTGTGCTGCAGACACTCAGGCGGGGATGTGCATAGCCGGTTGGGTGTGTGAGTCCAGAGTTCTGGGGAAGCTGTTCCCGGAGATGTCTGGAATAGTCAGTGCACCCAGGAGTGTGACTAGGTGGGGCCCTCAGGAGAGAGCAGAGTATAAAGTGGCCCAGCACTGTGTCCGGGGGCACCCCCGTGTCCAGAGGGTGGACAGAAGGGTCGAGAAGGAGCAGTGAGGAGGCAGAGAGAAACCAGGAAGGAGGGTGTTCCTTGCCCCCGCTGCCTCTAGTCTAAGGTGGTTCAGGAGTGGAGTGGGAAGGAGAAACCTCAGCCGTCCCCTCCACGGCCCCCGTGCCTTTGCTCCCTGCTAGTCTCTGTTTTCCCCTCCTTCCTTCTCTTCCACCTGCCTCTGCTTCCCCGTTCCCTGTCCTTCTCCTGCAGCATCTTGCCTCTCCCCTTCTTTAGGCCCAGGCGGAAGCCAAGAGGGAACATGAAGGGGCCGTGCAGCTGCTGGAGGTAGAGTCCCCAGAGACTGTGTGTGTGCTGGGGTGTAGGCTGGGGCTGTAACAGGGCCCCCAAGCACTGCAGGGCCTGGGGGTATCCCATCCATACTTGGCCTATTTCTCCCACTGGGGCATGGTGGGGCAGGGAGATCCTGAATCTGGGGACAGCCATCTCCCATCCCCACCATGGCTGCCTTCACCCTGCAATGTCCTTCCATTTAGGAACTGCTCTCTCTCTCCCTCCCTCTCTGGGTCAGTGACCTACAGGGCTAAGGGTTCTAACCTCTCCTCTGCGCTTTCCTTCCCTGCCGCAGTCTACCCTGGATTCCATGCAGGTACCGCCTCTTTACCTATCCACCTCCCCGGGGGTTCCCCCGCATCCCTTCCCAAGGGTCCCAGTGCTTGTGTCCAACAGAGGGGATGTCCCCGGTGGCAGATCTGAGAACCTGTAAATGGGTGGGGGTTTCTACAAGGCCACATGGACCGTGCCCTCATCCTAGACTGCTGCTGTGCCTGGCAGACACCAGGCCCTCCCTCCTATGGCCTCTCAGGCCGTGAAGAAGTGTGTCACAGCTGACTCATGCTCCTGGTGACATTTGCCAGGAAAGAGCCCCTGACACGGGGACTCTCCTGATACCTAAGCAAAGGTTCTGAGAACTGGCTGTTTCCCGTCTCGAACAAGTCCCCAGCATCCCATGAAGTCCCTGCCCACCTCTTGGCAGGGATTTGGGTCACAGACTGTGGGAGGGTGACAAGGGGTGGAACCGAGCAAACTCCTGTGATGATGCTGGTGGTAGTGATGGGGTGGGGACGATCCTCTTTGGCCTAGAAAGCATCCAGAAGCAGGAGTGCCACTGTCTAGCATGTGAGGGCCGCAGAGTGCGTCACAGGCCCAGGTCTCGGCTTTGGCGCCCAGGCTGGGTGCTGGGTGGATGTGATCTGATCCTCAGTGTGGGCCTGGGGGCTCATGGTGGTCTTGGCCCAGGCCCGGGTCCGAGAGCTGGAAGAGCAGTGCCGCAGCCAAACCGAGCGCTTCAGCCTCCTGGCTCAGGAGCTCCAGGCCTTCCGCCTGCACCCAGGCCCCTTGGACCTGCTCACTTCTGCGCTGGGCTGCAGTGCCCTTGGGGACCACCGCCCACTCCCCTGCTGCTGCTCTACCCCTCAGCCCTGCCGGGCCTCTGGCCCCAAAGGTAAGGTGGACCCAGTGACACTGGCCTGGAATCCCCAGGTCCGGGGCTTTTGTACAGAGATTGGAAAAGGGCAGCGACTCATTCAAAGCCACAGAGTAAGGTTGAACCATATCTGGCAGGAGCCAAGCTCTGATGGGACAAAAGAAAACCCCTAGGAACGAGAGTCCTGGAGACCAGCGCAGGCATCTCAGGCCACTGTCCTTCCCCCGTAACAGCCTCTGTGGCCAAACCTGGGAGTTGGGCCCTGGGAGCCCGTAGCAGGCTGCATGGCCTTGCGGAGAGTCAAAGCTTGGGGCAGTCAGACCTGGTGGTCCCCGGGCCGCTCACTGAGCAGCCAATGCCATATTAAGCATGCTGCTTAAATTCTCTGGGCCATAGTTTCCTAAGCTTTGAGGACGGGGGGAAATAATATATGTAAATCACCTATACTTCTGCTTAGTAAGTTTCCCCCCAAGTATTTCCCTTCTTGTAAGGAAACCCGGCTACGGAGGGCCTGACTGCCATATCTAGGAGGCTCCACCCTATCTCCCTGGTCCCTCCTCAGGCTACAGATTCCAAGCCCACGTGCCATCTTCTCTTTAGACCTTGACCTCCCGCCAGGCTCCCCAGGGCGCTGCACCCCAAAGTCTTCCGAGCCTGCTCCTGCCACCCTTACTGGGGTCCCTCGAAGGACAGCCAAGAAGGCGGAGTCTCTCTCTAACTCCTCACGCTCTGAGTCCATCCACAACAGCCCCAAATCATGCCCTACACCGGAGGTCAGTGCTGGGGAGGGGCTGAGGTCTGGTATGGGCTTGGGGAAGTGGGGAGGGGTTGGCTGTCATCTGTTGGGGAACCCCTGGGAATGGGGGCCATTGGTTCCAAGCTGGGAGGTAAACACCCTGTGGATGATTCCCTGCGTGGTAAGTGTGGGCGGAGCCTGTCACTGCTCCCCAGGGGCCCCTGCAAGCCCACCTTGGGGCCATCCAGCCCCAGCCCTCAGGGGTCCCGTGAGGCCCTAGGGTCCTGGGCTGGGTGAAGGAGACCCTGGGTGCCAGAATCCACCTGATGATATTCCTAAGGGCATCTGTAGAGGAGAGGGTGGTTGTGTGTGAAAGAGCACAGGTTCTGGGATTCAAATCCCAGCTTTGTCTTTGAGGAGTCACCATTTCTGGGTTCTGGTCTACTCATCTGAATATCGAGGATAATAAAACCTGCCTCCTAAGGTGGTTGCAAATGTTACCCGAACTGAGATATAAGGGAAGTGCTTCTCCCCCTGCGGGGCACCCAGGGAGTGCTTGACACATGGCAGCTGTTACCATCACTAAGTTCTTGGGCATCACTCTCGCGCTTCGGATCACTTTCTCGTCTTTCTACCCATAAACCCCAGAAAGTGTATAGGGGCAGGTCGCAGCAGTTTTAGAAAGTGGTAGATCCCAGCCCTGGGCCTCTGCTGCCCCCTCGTGGGCTGCAGTGGTCGTGCTGGTGTTGGAGGTGGTGGTGGACGGGCTGCTTGCCCACCCCTACAGGAGGTTCTGGGTTCCAAGGCTGAACCACAGAAGTGTCACCACGCTAGAGGCAGAGAGACTTCTTCAGCCCCTTCTGCTTCCTTGCTTCCACCTCTTTACAGTCAAGATGCTTGGCTGATGCTGGGAGTGGTGGTACAGGCCTGAGGCAGGAGGATGGCAATTTCAAGCCCAGGCTGGGCAACTTAATGACTTAGTGAAAACCTGTAAAAAAAAAACAACCCAAAAAACAAAAAACCATTGATGTAGCTCAGTAGAAAGGCCCTGGGTTCAATCTCGTCTGCTCCCCACACCAGCATGGCCTAGCCCCTTTTGGTCTTATTTCCTGGGCTGCTGGAGTAGGGGCCAGAACTTAGAGATGGGTCCAGGTTGTACCGACTACCTCTGTCTAGGCAGCTGGGTGCTTCCTGGACCTCCTGGCTCGGGTGCTGCTCAGAAACCTCAGGGGCTTGTGGCGCTGGCCTTGCCAGGGTGGCCGCATCTGTGCTCACTCCCTTCCTCAGAACAGTGACTCTTCTCTGGCTGAGCCTGCAAATCTGCCCGCTGTGCCATTGGCCCGGGCCCTGGAGAGGAGCCAGCCCTTTCTGTCTCCCCCAGGTGGACACAGCCAGTGAGGTGGAGGAGCTGGAGGTCGACAGCGTCTCCCTGCTCCCAGCAGCAACGGAGGGCAACCCGCGAGGGTCCAGGATCCAGGTCTTCCTCGCACGCTATAGGTGGGCCCTTTACTCGTGCTTCTCCCCTCCTGGATTTCGGGTGTATGGGAGGGTGGGGCTGGGTGAAGATGGAGACGTCTGGAAGTGGTGGAGTGTTACAGAGCCTCCGGGTGGACGTGTTCTCGGTAACCTAGGTGAGCCAAACTAGGTAGAGCGAATGCTCTACTTGGCTAACGGTGGAAACCAGATCGCTCTCCATCAAGGCTTTGCAGGGTGAGCGAAGAGTGACATAGAAATGCAATGTAGGTTGCTGTCCTCCTTCTCTTCTGTGCTCCCCTGACAGCTACAACCCCTTCGAGGGCCCCAACGAGAATCCAGAGGCAGAGCTTCCGCTAACAGCTGGCGAATACATCTATATCTATGGCAACATGGATGAGGATGGCTTTTTTGAAGGTAGGACAGTAGTAGGGGTCATTCTGTCCATTCTTTGGTCTTTATGCCCCTGTTCCCAAAGACCTCCATCCATCCATTCCCATTCCCAGCGTGCTGAGCCCACCATAACTTTTCAGACTCAGTTAAGAGGCATTCAGAGACGTGCCAGCCAGTGGGGAAAGAGGATGAAGGAGCTCTGGCTTCAAGCAGGACAGGCCAGCACATATCACAGTCATAGGGGATTTTGGCTTGATTCATTTTTATGCTGCTAAACAGAACAGGGCGGGGGCTGGGGATTTAGCTCAGTGGCACAGCGCTGCCTGGCAAGCGCAAGGTCTTGAGTTCGATTCCTGGTACTGGAAGAAAAACAACAACAACAACAAAAACAAAACAAAACAAAAAAACAGAGCAGGGCGGTGGTTAATGCTAGTGACACTTGAAGTCAGGCCTGTAGCGTAGATCTGGTGTTAGACTTTAAGCACATGTAAAGAGGAGGGACCTGGGTCCAGATCCCAGGAGAAGGTGTTACAAGGGGTTGGCAGGTGGCAGGGCACGAACCTCAGGACAGTTTTCCAGTTTTGGGGCTGGTGGGCACAGCAGAGGGTAGATTCTGAGGCAGATTCCTGTTGAGACTGGGCCTCATGACAGGGCCTATAGCGGGAATGCCCATAGGCACCTCCTCCAGGGTTTATCCTTCAGAGACTGGAATAAGGTATGGGCAGGGCAGGCCAGGGCAGGGGCCACACTGTATATGGAGGTTTAGGAAAGGGTTAGATCTGAGTGTGGGACACTGAAAGCTTTGGCTCCTGTTCAGATCTTTTCCCTTGGCCATCTGCCCATTATTTGTGTAGCTGCTAGGAATGACAGTGCCCAATTTTGTGGTCCAAACAGCTAAACTCCCCACAGGGGTAGATTTTGAAGAGCGGGGTTAAACTGCTTCTGGGAGAACAAGACAACAAACAACATCACTTTCCAGAGGAGGCCAGGAAAAGCATAAGGATTAACTCACCCCAAATTATTGGAATTTGAATTAGGCAATTTGGGGGGGCGGGGGTAGATTTAAAGGCGTGTAGACAACTGGGTTCAGGTTGTCCTATTCCTTGTCCAGCTTTATTAAGACACTGCTTCATCCACATCCACATGCAGCCTCCAGCTGTGCTGTTCTCAGTGGCACAAGCCTAGTGGGCTTGAGCTTGAGTGGCCCAGGCTTCAGCTCTGGCCTTGCAGGCTGCAGATTTGTGCAGGACTCTGAGTATAATTCAGCACTGTCAGTGCTAGTGTTAATATTAATTGTCCAGCCCTGCCTTACAAATTAATGGGGTGGCTTCAAACTGCAGGTCTTTATTGTCTCAATGGCTTTTTCAGGAGGCTGAAGTTGGAAATCAAGGTGTTGGTAGGCCTGCACTCCCTCTGAAAGCTCTTGGGGAGATTCCATTCCTTTTCTCTTTCAGCTTCTGGGGGCTCCATGTGTTACATGGGTTGTGGGCACATCACTCCAATTTCGGCACCAGCAGTCACGTTGCCTCTTCCTCTCTGAGTGTCGGTCTTCTTTTTTGGTGAGGGGGGTGGTACTGGGAATCAAACTCGGGACCTTGTGCTTGCCAGGCAGGCAATGTGCCCCTGAGCTATATCCCCAGCCCTGAGTGTCCGTCTTTTGTGTGTCTTTTCCTTTCTTGTTTTTTTCTTTTCTTTTCTTTTCTTTTCTTTTCATTTCTTTTTTCCTTTCCTTTCCTTTCCTTTCCTTTCCTTTCCTTTCCTTTCCTTTCCTTTGCTTTCCTTTCCTTTCCTTTTCCCTTTCCCTTTTCCTTTTCCTTTTCCTTTTCCTTTTCCTTTTCCTTTTCCTTTTCCTTTTCCTTTTCCTTTCCTTTCCTTTCCTTTCCTTTCCTTTCCTTTCCTTTCCTTTCCTTTCCCTTCCCTTTCCCTTTCCCTTTCCTTTCCCTTTCCTTTCCCTGTCCTTTCCCTTTCCTTTACTTTCCTTTTCTTTTTTCTTTTCTCTTCACTTCTTTTCGTATCTTATCTTTTCTTTTCTTTGTCTTTTTGAGACAGGGTCTTACTATGCAGTTCAGGCTGGCCTTAGCTCACTTTGTAGCCCAGGCTGGGATCAAACTTGCAATGATCCTCCTGCCTCAGCCTCCCGAGAGCTGGGATTACAGGCGTGCACCACCACACCCAGCTGTGTGCCTTTATTTTATAAGAACATTTGTCATTAGATTTAGGACCCACCCTGGTAATCTAGGATGATCTCATCTCAAGATTTTTAACTTAATTACTGTGCAAAGATGCTTTTTCCAAGTAAGATCACTTTCACAGGTTCCATGGAATAGGATATGGCACATTTTTGGGTGACCACCATTCAACCCACTATAGTGCTTAATGTATTATCGAACTTAATGAGGTTCCCTTCTGTTTCTTGAAGTTCTCTCACTGTATTTCTTTCCTATATAAGCAGAAGGAGAGGATGAGGGCCACAAATTACTGTTGGGTAAACTCCCATGGCCTCTGCACCTCAGTTCTGCTGACCCCACCGCTCCTCTCTGGGTCCTGGCCTGTGCTTCCCTTTCCTCCTTTAATTGTTTTCTCCCTGACTTTTTTTCTTCCTTAAATTGGCCACGACATGACATGTGTGTGCCTGGCTTCCTTCTCCCCTGATATCCCTCAAACAACAAATGTTTTTTAAAAAAAACTCTTGATAAGGCTTCAGAACTGACACGGATAATGAACTCACCACTGGCGCTGTCTGGACTGACTGCCAGCCGTGTTCTGAGACACGGGCCTGCAGCAGGTCCTAATGTCTGCTGGAGCCCATGAGTGACTTTCTTCTGGTACTTCTTTCGTTGTCTCGCCTTGCTGTGAAGAGGTGGTTGCATCCCTCTTCCTTTGTGAAGGTCTGTTTTTCCTAAAGGGAAGGTGAGGGGCACTGCAGTCCCCACCCTGTACAGTGTTTTCTTATCTCCATGTGTGTGTGTGTGTGTGTGTGTGTGTGTGTGTGTGTGCGTGCGCGCGCGCGCGCTTGCGTGCTAGGGATTGAACCAACAGCCTTGCCCATGCTAAGCATGTGCTCTACCACTAATCTACACCCTCAGCCCTTGTTCCTTCTCTTCACCTGTTTGCCTTTTCCATCTTTTTAGTAAGAAAGTTTCCAAATATATAGAAAAATCAAAAGAGCACCTATACACTCACCACTGAGATTTTGCAGTTTTTCACGCTTTGCTATATTTACTTTATCATACATATGTAATGATAAAATACAGTATGTATTTTATCATTAAAAAATGATTTTTAAGCAAGCTAAATATGTCATATCATGACAGCTCAGAAATACTTCAGCCTGCATCTCCTTGGACAGTGGGTGCTGTCCTACATCCTTTCTGTACCAGTGTCCTTGGTGCCTTGCTAGAAATGCAGATCCTGGGCTCCACCCAGACCTAACTGAATTAGAATTTCCATTTTAACAAATCTGCAAGTGATTCACATGCACATTAAAATTTAAGAAGCACTGTCCTATATAACTCAAAAACGCCTACAAGACCCGACAATAATTCTCTAATCCAGAGCTTGACTGCTCTTGTCTTTTAAAAGCACTAATGGGTAAATGTTGATTCAAATCAAATGCTTAATTAAAATCGCTCTCCAGCCATTACAAAAATGCATTTATCGAATGGGGTTTTCTTTACCTGTTCTCTGTTTGTCTTTCCCTCCCCTGCCTTTTCCTGCCCTCCCTCTGCCAGGGGAGCTCATGGATGGCCGAAGGGGCCTGGTCCCTTCCAATTTTGTGGAGCGTGTGTCTGATGACGATCTCCTGACCTCCCTCCCTTTGGAGCTGGCTGATTTGTCTCACAGCTCAGGCCCTGAACTCAGTTTCCTGAGCAGAGGTGGGGGTGGCAGCAGTAGCGGGGGACATAGCCAGCCCAGACCGGAGGAGGAGGATGCGGGGGACGAGCTCAGCCTGAGCCCCCCGCCGGAGGGCCTGGGCGCTCTTGCGGTGCCTTACCCTCGCCATCTGGTGGTCCTCAAGCAGCTGGCCCACAGTGTGGTGCTGGCCTGGGAGCTGCCTCCTGAGCGAGTAGAACTCTGTGGCTTCCACATCTGCGTGAACGGGGAGCTGCGGCAGGCCCTGGGGCCTGGGGCGCCCCCCAAGGCTGTGCTTGAGAACTTGGACTTGCGGGCTGGGCCCCTCCATGTTTCCGTCCAGGCCCTGACCAGCAAGGGCAGCTCCGACCCTCTGCGCTGTTGCTTGGCCGTGGGTGCTCGGGCCGGGGTAGTACCTAGCCAGCTGCGGGTCCGTCGATTGACAGCCACATCTGCGGAGATCACCTGGGTGCCCGGCAATAGCAACTTGGCCCATGCCATCTACCTCAATGGGGAAGAGTGCCCGCCTGCTCGCCCCAGCACCTATTGGACCACCTTCTGCAACCTACGGCCTGGCACACTCTATCAGGCCCGGGTAGAGGCTCAGCTCCCGCCCCAAGGAGCCTGGGAACCAGGCTGGGAGAGGCCGGAGCATCGGGCTTCCACCCTGCAGTTCACCACACTGCCCGCAGGTACGCAGGGGTGGGCACTGCTGTCTAGAACACCCAGGAGGCCGGCGATGGGTGGCGGTGGGAGGGGAGGCTGGCCCTGCTGCCAGTGTCAGTGAAATGGCATATGGGGCTGGTGTCTCAGGCAGAGAGTATCCCACGTTTCTGGGTTTCATACCTGACTTCCGCCAGGCGCACCTGATGCCCCCCTGGATGTGCAGATTGAGCCAGGGCCCTCCCCTGGCATCCTGCTCATCAGTTGGCTCCCAGTCACCATCGATGCTGCTGGCACCTCCAACGGTGTCCGGGTCACAGGCTACGCCATCTATGCCGATGGACAGAAGGTACGGCCTGGGGAATCCACCTGCTTGTACCCTGGTGATCTGCTGGGTAACCGTCCTTGCCACTCCTAGAGCCCTTGTCTTCCTGGCCTGGCAGTGATAGCCAGCCCCTGGCATCTGGGCCCTAGGTGGCATAGGCTTTGGTAACGCATGAGGGATTTAAAACTGCTCTACTGCTGAAGCCATGAGGCCAGGATGACTGGGTGAGATAAGGCACGCAGAGGGCTTAGCCAGCAGGATGCTCTCTGCCGTTCAGCCCTCTCAGTCTCACTTTGCCCTCCTGTGCTCCCGCCTCCTTGTAGATCATGGAGGTGGCCTCACCCACAGCAGGCAGCGTGCTGGTGGAGCTGTCCCAGCTGCAGCTGCTACAGGTGTGCCGTGAAGTGACTGTGCGCACCATGTCGCCCCATGGCGAGTCGGCCGACTCCATCCCTGCTCCTGTCGCTCCGGCCCTGGCCTCCACCTGTTCGTCCGCCAGGGTCGCCTGCCCCTCGCCACGACCAAGCCCAGAGGCTAGAACACCTCTTGCTCTAGCATCCCCAGGGCCTGGGGACCCCACCTCTCCCCTCTGGCACACTGCTCTCCACGGAACTCCAGAGCCTCCAGGAGGTCCCCCAGCAAGCCCCACCAGAGAGATGCCAAAAGGAGCCCAGGAGGAACCTGGAACGCCTTGCCCCCAGGTACCCTGTGTGGTGGGGGGTGAGCAGGTGCAGGCTGGCCAAAGAGCCTGGGGTCTTCAGCCTTCCTCAGTGCTGTCTGTTTCAGGAGGTGGCTGGGGCAGCTCTGCTGGGAGCCTCAGAGGAGAGGAGGGCCAGCGAGCCAACCATGGGTGAGGGAAGCCCTGGCCCTGCGGCTCCCTGCCGGGCCATGCAGGAGGCTGAGTGGACCACAGGAGAGGCCAGCCCCACGGTGTGCCCCAGCCAGAAGGCGCCAAGTACCGAGGCCTGCCATGGATCCGACCCTGGGCTAAGAGCCCGGGCTGAGGTGGGGGTTGGGGGCACACTGTCGCAGAATCAAGGCTGCCTCCCTACCCTTTGCCACCCCAAGTATGGGTGCCCTCTTCACCTGTCCTCTGCTCTGCTGAGCTCTGACACCTTTGTGTTATGTGTCTGTTTCTTATGCCCTTTTTCTTCCCGGATTTGTCTCCTCACTGTGGCTCCCACCCTGTACCCCATGGTACACACCTGCATTCTGGGCATGGCGCTTTCTCCCCCTGCCAAGGACCCTGTCTTATTCTGGTGTGGCCTGACCCTGCCCCACAGTCCCTAGGGCCCCTCTTAGCCCTTCCTGTCTTTCTTCCCTTGTCTCGCTATCTGCAGAGGGAAGACACAGCAGAGCTTGGGGTTCGTCTGGTAAACCCTCTTGTGGATCATGGCCGCAACTCGGACCTGTCAGACATCCAGGAAGAGGAAGAGGAGGAGGAGGAGGAAGAGGATCTGGCTTCCAGGACTTGCTTGTTCCAGAAGCAGGTTGCGGGCAGCAGCATCAGGGAGAGTGGGGCCAAGGTAATGGGGTGGGGAGGGGCTGGTGGGCCCCAGGCCTCAGGCTCCAAGAGCCTCCATCCCATGTGTCAGCAGCCGCTCCATCACTGCCACTGAGCGCCAGTGACATTGTAGGTGTGTGGCCCGGATCCTGGCTCAAGCAGCAGATATGAGAGGGCCCACATGGGCCTCCGCCCTGCTGGGAAGGTTGGGGGGAGGAGAGCGCCCTTACATACCTTCCTTCCAGCTGACTGCATGCAGTGCCCTGGCCAGGGGAAGCTGGCGCTGTCTGAGAGCCTTGTGCTGCCAGCCTCTGGGAAGGGGACGGGGTGGCCCCCCCATGGTGACAGGGACAGCCTGCGTCCGATGCTCCCACCCCGCAGGGGTTGGCGCCTCATCCTTGGGTGTATTCCCTGACTCTTCTTCTGGTTCTGCCGAGACGTGTGTGTGACTTTGGACCTGCCGTGGTCCCTCTTATTCTTTTCTCCTGGAGGACACGGAGGGAGGGCTGTGGGCTTGTCCTAAGCCCCGTCCTCACTGGAGGGCAAGGATCACAGCTCTCCCCTGTTCCCCGTGGACGTCTCTTCTCTGCTGCTCTCTTCTCCCCACCCCCAGCCCCAGCCCGACCCCTTTTGTGAGACTGACAGCGACGAGGAAATCTTGGAGCAGATCTTGGAGTTGCCCCTCCAGCAGTTTTGCAGCAAGAAGCTCTTTAGCATCCCCGAGGAGGAGGAAGAGGAGGACGAAGAAGACAGTGAGGAGCAGGAGAAGCCAGGGGCAGGCTGTTCTTCCCAAGACCCCAGTCCACCGGAACCTGCATCGCTGGGGCTGGGCTGTGACAGCGGTCAGCCCCCGGGACTGGGCCTGTGTCCCCTGTCTCCTGAGCCCTCCAGGGCCAGGGACCCCCTGGAGGATGTGCCTGGACTAGCTGGTGGAAGCAGCCGGAGGAGAGGCGGTGGCTCCCCTGAGAAGCCCCCAAACCGCAGGCGGCCTCCAGATCCCCGAGAACACTGCAGTCGGCTTCTCAGCAATGGCGGCCCCCAGGCCTCTACACGGCCGGCCCCCTTGCGGGACAGGAGTGGCCTCCCTGTGATTGAGGGCACCAGGGGTGGACTAGAGTCTAGTGGGAAAGCACGGCCGGGCACTTCCCGCAGATACGCCCGTGGCCGAGCCCCAGAGTCAGGCCTGGCCAGCTGCCTGTACCCCAAGGGCTTGGAAATCAGCATTGAATATGACTCTGAGGATGAGCAGGATGTGGGCAGCGGGGGCATCAGCATCACCAGCTCCTGCTACCCTACAGATGGGGAGCCCTGGGGCACGGCGCCTCTAGGAAGGCCGAGGGGGCCTCTGAAAGTCAATTCAGGGCCTAACCACTACCCACACCTCCCAGCCTGGGAGAAAGGGGAGCCAGAGAGGAGAGGCCGCAGCACGACCAGCAGAGCCGAGGAGCCACCCTCCCGGGTCTGTGCCCACTTCCTGCCCGGCAGCCCCCCGCCTGCTGCCGCCTGATGGCCCTGCTTGCTGTCCATCGGCCACTCCCATTCCATGCTGCAGCCTCCATCAGCAGAAGTGGGGCTGGGCCTCCGGGCCGCTCACCTGCCGCCTCCCACGCACATTCCACCGCTTTGCTGCTTCTGCTGATCAAAACTGGGACGCGCACTATTCTGTCACCGCTAGCCGCCAGTTGCTACCTTTGGGCAGGGTGGCCCTTTCCTGCACGTAGCTAGTTATGTCTTCGGGACACTGACTGTGATGCCATGTCCAAGAGTCACCAGCCCTCACACCGAGGAAGAACGGTCCTCTCATATGCTCTTTGGCCACCTCAGTTCCCCCTACTGCACTCATCTACAGGGGCGGGGGGGCTGGGGCCTCCTGTCCCTCCCGTGGGGCATCTGGTGTCTCCACAAGGCCATCGAGGACTCAGGAGTGTTATGCCCCTGTTCTGCTGGGCTGCTTACGCTGCTGCTGCGGGTGGGGCAGAGTGGGGAGTGTGGGCCCACCAGAGGGGTGACATGTCACTTCTGCCATCTGTTGCCCTCTCTTTGCAGGCAGCAGAGGAGACTGGGGAGGCCAGAGGGCCGGGCAGCTGTGGGCGGAAGGGCCCTCACAGGAGAGGGACCCGGGCGCCCAGGCCAGGCACCGCCGAGCTGGGTGAGCACCTAGTGGGGCTGGGCTTGGCCGGAGGGAGCCCTTCCCAAGCGCTCACTGAGCCACTGCCCTGTCCTCTGCCGTCTCCCCAGCCCCTCCAAGGAGCCCTCCAGAAACACTGGCTCACCAGGACTTACCTGTCAGGGTCTTCGTGGCTCTGTTTGACTATGACCCCGTGTCAATGTCGCCTAACCCTGATGCTGGAGAGGAGGAGCTCCCTTTTCGAGAAGGCCAGATTTTGAAGGTGAGTGGTTCTCCCTGTGCCCAGAACTCCAGAATCCAGTCATTGAGTCACTGTCTAGTCTAGTTATTGTGAGACAGCCGCGCTCCCTCCTCCTTTTTCTCTTCTGGAGGCATCACGGTGGGGCAGGAGAACACAGCTTCTTGAGCCAAAGGGTGGCACTGGACCCTGCCCCTGCCGCTTCAGCTGTGTTACTTTGCATAATTACTTACCCTCTCCAGGGCTCAGTTTTCTCATCGGTGAAATGGAGTAGTATTGATGTCTGTCTCCCAGGGTTGTTTGTGGAGCCAGTGAGACAATGTACAGACCTCCCTTACCTGCCCGCTGCAGTCAGCACGGTCTGCCTCTTTGCTGTTAACTTTTCCACTTTTACTGTTCCCCCAAAGATTGAAGGCTTCTTGCTGTTTTTCTGACCTTTTGGGGGTCCAGTCTAGGGTGCACTGGGGGGAAAGCTGTGTACAGCCGGTGGTGATTCAGAAAGGGCTGTTTTCTCGTTTCCTTCTGACCCTGGTCTCTAGCTGTTTGCCCTCCTCTGTCCCATGGCCTGCAGAGGACAGACCAACCTTCTGCAGTGCCAAGTGGGGTGCTGCCGGGGCTCGAGGTCTGGGGAACAGGGAGCCAGCGGAACTGGCCTCCTGAGACAACTGGTCTTTGCTTCTAGGTGTTTGGGGACAAGGATGCAGACGGCTTCTATAGGGGGGAAAGCGGAGGCCAGACCGGCTACATCCCCTGCAACATGGTGGCTGAGGTGGCTGTGGACAGTCCCGCGGGGAGGCAGCAGCTGTTCCAGCGGGGTTATTTGTCTCCCGATACTGTCACTGAGGGCACAGGTATGACCTGCTGTCCTCACCCGCTTCCCACCACCTGCGTTCCTCTCTAGCCTCATCCAGAGCGGTCTGTGTGTCTACCACGGCTGGGCGCCTCATTTACACAGAGCCGCTGGAACCAAGGCCGGGGTGGCCACCTGCTTGGGACTGCCACACAGAGTGGCAGCCTGGAGCCAAGGGAAGCCTGTCTGGGAGAACCCACTGGTGCCCTGCACTTTGGGCGTGGAGGCTGGGAGGCTGGGAGGCTGGGAAGCTGGGAGACTGGGAGGCTGGGAGGCTTGGAGGCTTGGAGGCTGGGAGGCTGGAAGACTGGGAGGCTGGGAGGCTGGAAGACTGGGAGGCTGGGAGGCTGGGAGGCTGGGAGGCTGGGAGGCTGGGAGGCTGGGAGGCTGGGAGGCTGGGAGGCTGGGAGGTTGGGAGGCTGGGAGGCTGGGAGGCTGGGAGGCTGGGAGGTGCCCTTGTTGAGCCTTTTAGGAAATGAGCTCAGGAGCCCTGTGCAGCCCTGGGGGGAGACTCCAGAGTCTGTGCTAGTTTCCTGTCCTGCCTCAGTTTCTCTCATACCTACTTGCCTTCCTGGATCAGGGAGCAGTCCCTTTGTGTACTCCGAAGCCCACACCACTGGGCCTCCCCCGAAGCCCCGCCGCTCCAAGAAAGGTGAGTGCCTGTGATGGACGATGTGTGTGGGTGCGGGTTGATGCGGCACTGCTTGACTCTCTGGGATTTTGAGCAGATAAAAGGAATCAGAGGAGACCTTCACCCATATCCACCTGCTCCAGTGGGGAGCTCCATTCTGGTGGGGATGGGGGATGGTTTGCCAAGATTTCTGTTCCCCAAACCACCAGACGTAAATGCTGTGCACATGTCATTTAGCCTTTCTGGGCCTTAGTTCACTCCCAAACCAAAGTGTTATGCTAATAGGCTCTCTGGGCGTCCTTCCCCTCCCACGTCCCTCTGGGCGTCCTACCTGCCCTTAACGCCCCTAGCCTGGGACAAAGCAGGGAGGGCAGGACGGGACTCAGAGGCATCTTTTCTCCACAGCGGAGCTGGAAGGCCCTGTTCAGCTCTGCCCAGGTGAGGAGCCATCCTGTGGCAAGGGTGTCTAGGGAAAGAAGGTGGGTGAGGTGACCTCTGGCTTCTCCCCAGGGGCTACAGCTAGTCAGACGGTGGTGAACAGGAAGTCCTGCCTCCAGTGCAGAAGGTAGCGGGGAACACGGGTGGTCTGGAGAGGGTCCTGATTCTTCTCCCCCTTCTCTGCAGGTCCCCCAGAGCCGGTTGCCTCTGCTGCCCTGAAAGCTCCCCACCCCATGGTAGCTGCATTTGACTACAACCCCCGGGAGAACTCCCCCAATATGGATGTGGAGGTGAGGCCCCTAGGATGGTGCGGAGCGATGGGGGTGGCGGCAGGGCCTCCCTGAGCCCGACACCGACCTCTTGCTGTCTCCACAGGCGGAGCTGTCCTTCCGGGCAGGGGACGTCATTACTGTGTTTGGCAGCATGGATGACGATGGTTTCTACTATGTGAGGACATTGCCGGGCAGGGTGCCTTGTACCCCAGCTTACCAGCTGGGCAGGGGATGGGCAGCCGTCCCCACCGAAGCATCCCCTCCCCTTACAGTGATGTGGGCCCCAGGCTGTTCTCCAGGGCCCTCAGGGTCCAGGGGACAAGGCTGGGACCTCTGTCCTGGTCTCCGTCTTATCAGCATCTCCTCCCCAGGGGGAACTGAATGGACAAAGGGGACTGGTTCCATCCAACTTTCTGGAGGGCCCCAGGCCTGAAGTAGGCAGCCCCAGCAGGGAGCTCACGACGCCCCAGGCGGAGAGTCAAGTGAGTGAGGAGCTGAGCTCCCAACTGCGAATTTGCCTTTCCCCTGCTGGGGAGGTGGGGCCAGGACAGTGTTGGGGGAGGGGTGCCACTGAGCTGAGTTACCCGAGAGGAGGGGCCTGGATGTGTCCCTGTCTGCCAAGGGGTGATGACTATGATCTTGACCCCAGGCGCCAACCATCAGCACCCAGGCCAATACTGGGGAGGGGGTCCTTTCACTCAACCTCTAGGCAGCTGCGCCCTGGTTCTGATAGTCCCACCCTGCTGGGCTCTCTGCCCCCAGATGCCGGGTGAGGCCAGTAGCCCAGCAGCCCAGCTTCCTGGTTCTCGTTCTTACAGCCTGTCTTGCCTTGGGACAAGTGGGGGACAGTGAAACCTCCAGTTTAAGAGGGCAGGGCAAGGGTGAGGAGGCCCCGCCCCACGCATAAGGCCGGGGGCTTCCCTGCGCAGAGCTCCAAACTCAAAGGCTGAGCCAAGCGGGAGCCATCTGGTGACTGGGCGGAGAGCACACGGGCCTGTCGGTAACCCATCTCCTCTCTTTGTTCCCTGTTCTCAGAGAACGAGGAGGAGAAGAGTCCAGTGCTAGATGGAGATAGATATGTGTAGAGAGAGCGACATGTAAGTGGGGGGACCGGCCCCTGCGTCTATGGTCCCATGCAGCCCTACCCCCACTTCACTGTAATCAGACAGCACCCCTTTGTGTCAGATCAGCTGGCCTGGCTTCCCCACTGTCTGCTGGGGAATGGGGAGGGAGCTCTTGCCATGAGCCAGATTTAGTGTGAGACTGTGCTCCCCCATGCCCCCCTTTCCCCTTGTCTGCCTTTACCCTGGGCAGTGCCAGCTGTCACAGGGCACATGTCTTAGCATATGATGTCCCATGTTAGCTGACTCTTCTGTCTGCTTATAACCCATGTGGCTTATAGACTGTTATGTGATACCATCTATTATGACTCATTAGTGGTATTATGATACTATATGGCTATGGTATTATAATATTATGATTATTATGGGTGACAGAAAGAGGACCCTGTAATGTCACCAATAATAATAGCCTCCCTACCCTTGTCCTCTGCATTACGACATGCTAGAGAGGCCGCATATATGCTTTTACTGCCAACTCTCAAGTTTCTTCGGTTGAGGGATGGAAGGGGGACCCTCAAGAGCTGAAATCCATAGATATCCCCAAACCATTCTTCCCTGCGTCTCCCCAGTGGCCGTAGTCTTGGCGTCAGTGCTTTAACCCTTGAGTCTGGGAGGCCTTGCTGCTTCATCCGGGGCCAAGCAAGGGGCAGAGGGGTGTTCGGCTGGGTGCCCTGGGCCCTTGCCTCTGGTCAGGTTCTGTGGCTGGTTCTGCCGGGGGACTTCAGGGAGGGAGGAGGGAGGAGAGGGGGCCGGGAAGCCTGGCAAGAGCAGACAGGGCCGTGCCGGGTCCAGGAGGCCCTGGTGGTGATGTGGGATTAGAAGTGGGAATGGTTTCCAGGTGGCTGCCCCGGTCACCCAGATCCCTGCCCTTATTCCACCACGGAGCACCGTGTGGGTGAGGCGGAGGGAGCAGCTGAGGGCTGCAAGTGGAGCCGGGAGGAGAGTCAACAAGAGAGATGCTAAGGGGCTGGGGATTTAGCTCAGTGGCACAGCGCCTGCCTGGCAAGCGCAAGGCTGTGAGTTCAATCCCTGGTACTGGAAACAAACAAACAAACAAACAAACAAAAAAGAGAGATGCTAAAGTGGGGCTAATAATGCCCCCATGGGACCTGCCCCCGGGGCCTGGCCTCCCTGTGTCCTCCCAGGGCCTATCCCACAGAGAGTCCAGGTCTCTGTCCTAATGGGATGGCCGTTCCTTCACTCCCAGAAGGCCCTTGAGAGACCACATCAGCCAGTTTGGCGGGGACCTTCTCTCTGCCTATGAGGTGCAGTCCAGTTGGCACTGCCTTCCTCAGCGGGGCAGTGGCCTCTAAATGGTCTGGGTCTTTGCTGTCCCTTCCTTGGGTAGGACATGATAGGTGGGAAGGTGAGGGCACCTACCCCAAGGGTCAGGTTCCCAGAACTCTGGAGCTTGGCCAGCTTGGGCCACGTAGTGAGACCCAGAGAAGGGCAGGGGCCTGCCCTGGGCTGCAAGGTAATAAGGCGGAACTGAGACGCTGTGTCCTGTGTCCACTCACCCGTGTGTTCTGTGTGTCCAGGCCAGTGGTGGGGGGTGACGCCTGGTTCTCAGCCTCAGAGCTGTGAAGCTCAGGCTCCTGAGGCTGAAGAGAAAAGGAGCTGGGGCGGGGAGGGAACCAGCCCTGACCTTACCTTTCTCTCTCCTATTCCAGGACTGGGTTGGCACAGGAGGACCCGCAGTGCCCCCAGGCTGGCACTGCATCTCCAGCCCTGGAAGCCTCCCTAGGGCCGAACTCGGGGAGCCACAGGGCACAGTTGAAAAGGTGCGGGGTCTCCTGTCCAAGGGGAAGCAGCTCCTCAGGAAGCTGGGCTCTGGGAAGAAGGAGTGAAGCTGTGGCCCATCCCTCAGGGAGAAGTGGCCCCTGAGGATGCCCAGATCACTGCTGTAGCTGGACAGAGAGGCCCCGACGGCCCAGAACTCCTGTTTTCTGAGTTAACACTGTGGCGCTTGGATGGGAATCAAAGAGAGTTGGTGAAGGCGGGAGGCTAGGTGGGCCCCGAAGGTTGCATCACTAGCTGGGCCCTTCCCCTTGTAGGAGGGAGCCTGAGCCCCATAGTGAGTAACCTGACTGAGGTTGCCGAGCACCCAGTGAGACCAGGACTGGAGTCAGGACTCTTGACTCCCAGTCCGCCCACCTAGTCTAATCCTAGTTTCCCGCCAGGCTGTGCGGGTCCCTTCTTTGGCCCTCCCTACACCCAGGACAGGACCCTGAGGGGAGAAGGGCCTGTTCCCCCTGGTGGCTCTGGCTGTCCTGATCGCGTCTTCCCTCCCCTGAAGGAAAGTTTGCACTGGAGTCCCCTGAGGGCAGCGGAGCCGTGTATATATGTACATACTCAGTGCCTCAGTCCAGCCCCTCCATCCCGCCTCCACCGCACAGCACCGGCCGGGAGGGAGGAGGGCCACGCCAGAGCCGGCCCGACCCCGCCCCACCGTGCTCCACCCCTCCCTGCCCTGCCACGTGGCCCCAGTGTCACCCCCCACGAAACCCAGGGGACCAAGGGGGCAGAAGGCAGGAGTTGGGTTTGCCTTATTTTGCTCATTGGATTCAACTTCTCTTTTGCATTGTTTTCTTCTGACCCCTGTGGGAGTCCAGGGACCGAGGATAAGGACAGATTTATGCAGCTATTTTCATACATTCCCTGTTCAGAGTGGGTAGGAGCTGCTCCACCCTTACCGAGCCACCCACCTGTCACCCTGGCTGGGCGAGTGTCTCTGCATGTTTCCTTTGCTGTGGTGGGAGATGGTTTGACCGAACCCCCACCTCCACCTTGGTCTCCAGGAGTGTGGAATGGTGGAGGCATTTGTTTAAAAAGACATTTTATTATAATAAAGTCTATTTTCACAAAATCTATTCTGGACTCTACCTGGGCAAAGGACTCTTGGGGCGGGTGTTGTGCTGAGATTTGGATTTATGGCTTCGGAACCTAGAAATTACACCCACAGTGTGAAGGGGCAAAAACTAAACACCAAGCAGGTCTTCAGTTCCATTTGTTTGTTTGTTTGAGATAGGGCCTGACTACGTAGTTCAGTCTGGCCTTGAACTTACTATGTAACTCAAGCTAAGGCAATAAGATTGCTCTTGAGGCAGAAGCAATCCTCCTGCCTCAGCCTCCTGAGTGCTGGAATTACAGGCCTGCACCACCATCCTCGGCTTGAGTTCCATTTCTTAAGAAGAAGAGCTGGCATCTTCCTGAGCTGCTGCGCCATATGTGTGGAGTCAGGGAAGGCTGCGGAGGGATGAGACCTGGGAATGGGGACAGAGAACATATGAAGAGAAGAGATACTAGTTTTGAGATGGTGGACTGAACACATACTGCCTTATTCCGCTGCCAAATCCATAGAAATAATAAAAGCGAGACAAACAGGACAAATGAGCAAATACCATACAAAATTCCATTTGAAAGCAAGAAAGGGGACTCTAGACTGGAAACAGCAGAGTTCTGGAAAAGATAGAAAACAAATGAAGATCACATTCGGAACCCCTGAGCAGAGTGTACATGGGAAAGAGCTGCACAGTGCTCCATTTCCTCCTGCAAATGGCAAAAGAGACTCCTGGGACTGTGACAGCCTGATTGTTGGCATTCCTAGCCGGGAGTGAGGAGTGATTGCCTATTCTCTCCCCATGGGTCAAGGGACAAAGGTTGAGATGTCACTGAGTAGCTGCCTTTGTCTTGCTTCTGTAACTTTGCGTACACCCCCTTCCAGTTTCACACCAACCCCCTTTGACAAAATGTATAAAAACTGGAGCCCTCCCTTTGTTCAGGGCTCAGCCCTTTGGACATGAGTCTGCTGGGTTGGTGTAGACCTAAAATAAATGAATTCTTCTGTTTCTCCCGTGGTCTCTCTCGACTCTTGCAGGCAACAGTACAGAACTTGCCTAGCCAGGTGAGAGCCTGGGTTCTATCCCTAGCACTAAAATAAATAAATGAAAACATATATTTATACATGCTATTTATTCTGCTTGCCAGATCTGGGGAATTTTCAATCATTCTTTCTTCAAGTATTTTCCCACATCTCATTTTTTCTCCTTTCTATGACTTGATGCAAATGGGGTATAGTGCATTCCTGACACCCACCGCCTGTGGTACGTTCTGATTCCCTAAGAGTCTTGGCTCTCTGGGATTCATTTACTTTCTGGGATACTCTTCTTGTGATCATGCCTGCAGCTGGGCCCAGGCAGTGGGAAGACAAAAAAAAAAAAAAAAAAAAAGAGTTGGGGGAAAGCCCCATTCCTGGGAGCACTGTGCTCCCTGCTGGAGAGGAACTTTCTCCTCAGCAGCTGAGCTTCCCCTGGCCAGCTTTGCTGCCATGGCCATAGAATTCCTTGGGGTGCAAGATAATGGAGAAAAGCCCAAAGGAAAAGAAAAAGGGGGAAATGAGGGGTTTCTGTATTCTCTACACATCAGGAGACCTCTTTCCTTCCCCTCAAGTCTGAACTAGATGCTTTTCTTTGGACTTCCTGCAATCCCTACCAATGTCTACCTTGGGTCTCAGGCTGCATCAGGTTAAGGGATACCTGAAAAAAAATTCATGCGCTCATTGCCCTTTGGGTGATATGCAAAGTATATTTCTCCTCCCTTACCTGCCAACTCTGATTTACTTTCATAGTCTTCATGTAGTTGCTTTGTGCTCTCTGAGCAGGGTTATAGCTGCAGTCATTGAGAGGGAGTGCTAGTGTTGTCATTTCATCTTGCCTGGGACTGGAACTTCTGTCTCCCAGGATCACAATTTCGACTGCATTGAATCTGTACATCATTAGGGAACTGACATTTTCACAATATTGAGTCTTCTGAGAGCTGGGCATAGTGGCACATGCCTATAATCCCAGCACTCGGGAGGCTGAGGCAGGAGAATCACTGCTTGTTTGAGGCCAGCCTAGGTTACATAGTGAGTTCAAGGCCAGTCTGAACTGCATAGTGAGACCTTGTCTCAAAAACAAAAAACCTCAGTTTTCTGACTTATGAACAACGTATACCCATCTCTCTATTTATTTAGCTCTTTAATTTATCTTAGTAATGTGTTATAGTTTTCAGTACAGATATTACACATTTCTTGTCATTTTTCCCAAGTACTTTGTATTTTAGGTGCAATTGTGTGATACTATTTTTCATTTCAAATTCTGATTATTGATAGTATATAGAAATGATATTTTAAAATTTTGGCCTTGTATAGTGTGACCTTGTTAAACTTGTTAATTCTACTGGTTACTTTGTACATTCCTTAGAATTTTCTACATAAATGATGACTGTATATAAACAAAGACAGTTTTACTTCTTATTTTGAAATTCTTTTATTTGTAATTCTTTTTTCTTGTCTTAGTGCATTATATAGAACCTCCAGCTCAATGCTGAACAGAAACAGCAGGAAGTAGACATCTTTGCTTGGTTCTGATCTTAGGGAGAAAGCATTTAGCATTCACCATTAAGTAGGATTATAGATATAGATATTCTTCCTCCAGTTTGAGGAAGTTCCTTCTATTAGTTTGCACAGAGTTTTATTTTTATTTTTTAAAGTCAGTAATGATTGCTGGATTTTGGCAAATTATTTGCATCTAATGAGAAATCATATGGTTTTTCTTTCTTATTTATGACAAATTACATTGATTTTTAAATGTTAATCTTCCTTACTTTCCTGGGATAAATTCCACTAGGTCATGACATGGGAAGAGGTTGAAAGCTGGTTCTTTGGGATGTGCTCTTCCTGTTGAGTTTGTGGCAGATATCTAACACGAAGATGAGGAGGTTGTAGGGATGATGAGGGAATTCATTCTCTTTGTCTCTTCTCTGTACTCAGCTGGGGAACCTTACCCACTAGAGAATCTCCTGTGCTTAATTCCATCCTGGCGAGAGCTTCCCCTCAGTCGTAGGACTCTAGACCTCAGGGCAAAGCTGTTTCCACTCCCTCACCTAACCAGGGTCCCGCACCCCTGTGCAGTACCCCTTACCCACCATGCCACTGGCCTGAAGGTGCAGTTTTCCTACCTCATAGTTGCTGCAAGACAGGTGCTGATCTGAGGAAGGCAATGTGATATGGAGGACGGCACCCCTAGCAGGTACCTCCTCACCTGCTGTGTGCCCTCCCCAGAGCCAGTCTTTTGTCTCCCTAGGGCTTTCCACAGCTCTTGTTATGTTTTGTTCTTCAGCAATCTCATTCTCCGGTCTGGGCATCTCCATGGTCAGGTCTGGCTGGTGGTGCTTGCAGCCCATGCTAATTTGGCTTTGCTTGAAATAGAGGTGGGCATCTGGATTTCAAGAACTGGAAGCTGATGGGTAACAGAGAACTTGGCAGCAATACTATGTGCATAAAAATAATATCTCCTGAGAACTTAACTGAATGAAATTTGAACTTTTATTTTCTTCTTTATCAAAATATCAGTTATATTACCCAAGCTTCCCATAGGGGATGTGTGCACTCCCAAATGCCATGGATGTTAATGTCCCCCTTTCAGTCTTTATTCATGTTTGGCTTCATACTTTTTTGTTTGTTTGTTTGTTTTTTTCCAGTACCGGGGATCGAACTCATGACCTTGCACTTGCTAGGCAGGCACTGTGCCACTGAACTAAATCCCCAGCCCCGTTTGGCTTCATATTAAGAAACCAATGTAAAAATAATCCCAAACCACTGATTGGGCAAAAAAAGAAAATCAAAGTTTGCTATTGGGGGGTTGAAGTGGAGGGAGAGATTAGTTATTTCATGATAAAATTATTATTATGATTATGATTCTTTTGTTTTGCTTTTCTTCTGGTACCAGGAATCGAACTCACGACCTTGCGCTTGCCAGGTAGGCGCTTTGCCGCTGAACAAAATCCCCAGCCCCAAAATTATTATTTTTCTAGTAAAACGTTCAAAGAGAGGGGACCAGATAAAAAATAAGATGTGTCAGCTCATTTTCCAGAAATAAACACTTTTAAAAGGCTTTGTGCCTTCTTCTGGAGTCTTCTATACATATTTAAGTACTAGGTGTATGCATGCACGTGTGAACATATTTTGTAGGATTGCAACATGCTGTATAGAATGGAACTAGCTCTTTTTTTGGCAATTTCTTTCCATTTTGCTAAAATATGTCTCCTTCATTATTTTTAAAGGAGACATAAAATACCAATATGTGGATGTACCACAGTGTGGCAAAACAGTTTTGATAGGCATTTGACTCGTTTCCAGTCCTCTGGTGGTTGAAATGAGGCTGAATTGAACACGCTTGTGTGGGTGTCTCTATGTTTTCCTATGAACCCATCTGAAGGATAAATTCCTGCCTAGAGGTAGAATCGCTGAGCCAGAGCAATTTGGAGTTTGACTGACATTGTCGTATTGTCCACCCCATGGCATAGGACCAAACTGCATTTATTTTTTTCACATCTGGCTGACACTGGATTTATACATCTTTTTTTCTTTGAATTTGTCTGATTGATAAAAATAACATTTATTTATTTATTTTCATTGCCAGGGTTTGAATTCAGAGCCTCAGGCTTGCTAAGCAAGGGTAACACCACTGAGCTACACCCCCAGCTAATTATTTTTTCTTTATTTAACTTGAGCTTAATCTTTCATTTCTTTAATACTAATTAATTAATTAATTTGCAATACTGGTGATTGAACCCAGGATTTAATTCCAGCTTTTTTTTCTTCTTCTTCAAGTTCTGGGGATTGAACCCAGTACTAAAACCTTAGGCCTCTTAATATATATATATTTTTAAATTTTTGAAAGAGAGCCTGTTGAGTCACTAAATTACCGAGGATGGGCTCAAACTTGTGATCCTTCTGCCTCAGGCTCACAGAGTGCCGCGCTTACAGGTAGACCCAGCCATGCCCTGAACCTTCAATGGTTTTAAGGAAAAAAAAAATATATA